TCCTGAGCAAATCACTTAACCCTGTTTACCTCAGTTTCCTTATTTGTAAAATGAGCTGGAAGAGGAAATGACAAACCACTTCAGTATCTTTGCCATGAAAAACCTCAAATATGGTCACGAAAAGTTTGAAATGACTGAATAACAGCACTTTTTCAGGCTCATATCGCATTATTGTTCTTTACTCAGTTGGAGTTCTAGGCAGCATGATCTACTTGTCATTCTCTATACAGGACAATCTATTTCCCACCTCCATGTCTTTGTACAGGCTGTCTCCTATGACTGAAATGCACCCTTCCTCACCTCTGCCTTAGAGAATTTCTGCCTTCCTTCCAAGTTCAGCTCAAGAGCCATTTCTTATAGTATGTCTATACTAAACTCACCCCATCCCCTTCCAAGGTTTTTAGCTCCCCTTCTCTGAAATCACTTTGCATCTACTTTGTGTATATTTGGTTTTTAATTTCTGTGTACTTGTCCTTCTCCATTCCCTGCTCAGAAACAAAATGAATTTAAGTTCCTTGAGGAAAGGCATTGTTCATTTTTGTCCTTCTACCCCCAGCACTTTGTACATAGTAGGTGGATCATAAGATCTTAGATCTTAAATTTTAGTCATAGAAGGGATCTTAATGATTAATAAATACCTCTGAATGAATGAACAAACAAACAAGGTATACTTTGAAATGTTACACTTATGTGTATGCACGTGATTTTAATGCCAGAGAGTCTTTGTTCTCCATGGCTCCTGAGTATTTATTTTGTGATGTAAAATCACATGTGTTCTCATGAAGGTGCCAAGCCATGAGTGAACTGTAACACACATTGGGAGTGCAATCTTCTAACACAATCTTGGGCACTACATTTCCAAATTTTTTTTTTTGGTTGGGCAATGGGGGTTAAGTGACTTGTCCAGAGTCACACAGATAGTAAGTGTTATGTGTCTGAGGCTGGATTTGAACTCGGGTCCTCCTGACTCCAGGGCCGGTGCTCTATCCACTGCTCCACCTAGCTGCCCCTATATTTCCACATTTTAAGAAGGCTATTGAGAAGCTAGATTATGGTTAGAGGAAGATGACCAGGACAAGGAGCTCAGGAAATGTAGCCTGGAGAATGAAGGATAGTATTCCCAGTGCCTACCACAGTGCTTTGCATATACAAGATACTTAACAAATGTAATTGTGAAGGGACAACTAGGTGGCACAGTTGATAGAGCTCTAGCCTTGGAGTCAGGAGGACCTGAGCTCAACTCTGACCTCAGACACTTGACACCTAACTAGCTGTGTGACCTTGGGCAAGTCATTTAACCCTAATTGCTGCACCAAAAATAAATAATAAATAAATAAATAAAAACCAAACTGTGTAACTGTGAGTTGAGACGAGAATATTTAGAAGGGGGAAAAATAGCAATCGTCAAATGTTTGAAGGGCCATCATGTGCACATCCTGTGCACTGACCTTACTTTCTTTTCTTTGAATTATTGTTATTTCCCCTTGTTCCAAGGGAAGGGGCACTTGTTGGGATATACCAAAGATGGGATTCCTGCGCAGGTATGAGTTGTAATTAAAAAGGCCATGGAGATCCCTCCCAATGCTGGTATTCTGTAAGTGTGAGGGGCTGCAATTTTCAAACCTTGTCTAGGGCATATAAATGCCTTGTTATGGCCTTATCTGGAGCACCAAGTAATTCTGACAGACTTCCTGTTAAAAAGCTGGGTTTATAATATAATTGCTCCCTTTTACCTTTTCCTAACTAATTTTGTTGTTTAGACTCACCCTGTCAAACACAAATCAGCCCCAACCTCTCTTTCAGACTACCTTAATAATCAGTTTTAAGAATACTGATAACATTTTCACATATATAATAAGTAAACACTTTAATGAGTGCTTATAATTTTAAAATTATATATATACAGATATATACACAGATATATATACATACACATACATATATACACATATATAGACATACATTTATACATGCACTTACATATACATACATATACTTAGATATCTATAATCTTTCTCATATATAGACATATACATTCATATGCATCTATATAAGACCATACTATACTTGTTTGTCCTCTGCTTCTCTGAAGGTGGATAACATCTTCCTTCATAAATCCAAGTCTTTTCATATTTTTCTAAGTCCACTAACTCATCATTTCTTACATCACAGAAATATTCCAATCTTATACTGTCTAGTTATTTTATATAGTCTAAAATCAATATTAAACAATATTGATTAATATGGTTGACATATGGTGTAGTTTCCCTATTTTTCTCTTTTGAGTAAATCTATTTTAGCTTTCACTTTGTCTGGGACAGTGATTACTACCCTGTTTTTTTTTCCCCTAACAAATTCTACTCCTTATCTTTATTTTATGTTTGTGTGTATCTCTTATTTCCTGTCCCTCCTGACTCCTCTACTTAACTTCTATCCAAGACTCCTCCACCTAGGATCCCTCCCTTTCCCCCACGCCCACCCTTTCCCCTTACCTTCTTGTTTCTATCTGAATTTAGAAGACTTTTATAGCCTTCCAAACATATATGTAGTTCCCTCTTTATCCCATTCCCATTAATCTAGACACCCTCCTATTCCCCTCCCCCTTTATCCTGTTCCATCACCCTCTGTAATCAAGTTTTAATCTTAAATTGGGTAATGTTGCCTTAGGCCTCAGGTCCTCCTTACTGTTATTTTCTGAATTGTGTCCTCAGGCTCAGCCTCAGGGACTCCTCTCCTCTCCTAAGCCACCGTGAGGACCCCCAGCCAGGCTGTCTTGTGCGGTACCTCATTCAGAGGGACAAGTGCTCTCTCTTCCTCTCCCAAGGCCAGAGTCAGGGTGTCTGGTCAGCTCCGCTAGGCTTGGCTTCCAGAAACAAAAGGGGGTCCTTCAATCTTCCCCACTTAGCTGTCGGCTGTTCATCAGATGAAGGTTTGTGAAGTAAAAGTTCAAGAGATGAAATTTCTTAAGGCCCAGTAGGCTTTCCTACAAAGCTGCCCCAGGGCTTGCTGCCTATTGCTTCAGTGGTGGCCTGGAGGTGTCTACCCTCCACTCAAGCTAAACCTCAGCCCCTGGAGGCCCTGTCTTTTCTGAGGTCCTCTCAAGTTATCTGAGCAGGACACCTCCTTTACTCCCTTTATTTTTGCCCCTCCAAGTTCATTTTGTGGCGATTTTCTGTTTGTGGAGGAAATCTGGAGAGCCTGGAAATTTCTGACCTACTCCACCAAATACAGAGGAATAAGGTAGGGGTGGAGGGCTGGTGATGTGGGAACCTTACTCTCACCTGAGTCGAAGAGGAAACAACACATACATCTGGAAGAGTGTAGAAGTCTTCTGAACACATAGAGAGGTGAGAAAACTGGGGGACAGGGTGGGGGAGAGGCTTTTAGAGGGATGTGTGGATTGGGATTTTGGGGGGAGGGGATGGAGAACTCTTGGAAGGGTGGGTGAAGTGGGGGGTGGGAGGGTGAGGAGAGAAGATAAGGTAACAGGGATAGGGCAAAAAAAGAGAGGCTGAGAAAGAAAAAAGTGAGTAAAAATAAGATGGAGGGAAATTCACAAATAGTAATTATAAGTTCAGATGTGAATGGGAGGTTAATAGCGGCTTTCTTTGTGGTGGCAAAGAACTGGAAATTACAGGGATACCCATTAACTGGGGAATGGCTAAAAAAGTTGTGATATATGATTGTGATGGAATGCTACTGTGTTACAAGAAATGATGAGCTCAACGATCTTAGAAAGGCATGGAAAGACTTGAACAAAACGATGAGGAGTGAAGTGAGCAGAACTGGGAGAGCATTGTATACAGTAACAGAAATATTGTTTTAAGAACAACTTGAGTGACTAAGTCATTCTGACTTATAAATACGTAAATTAAAAAAGGACATATGAAGAAAGACACTATCTGCATCCAGAGAAAGAACTGATAAATGTACGGAACAATTTTACGTATATATACACCTATTTGTGTCTAATGGTAGCTATCTCTAAAGCGGGGGTGGGGGAGGGAAGAAAAAAAGAAAAAAGAAATTTACGTGATAATTTTGTTGTATATTTGGAGGGAATAGCACATTGTACATGGTAGATATGCAGTTTCATGTGCAATCATCTTTTTTCATTGTACTGTGTTATGGAAATGCTTGTTTTATTCCATAAATTGAAAATAAAACAAATTAAAAAATAAAAAAGCTGGGTTTATGGGGCTGTGGGCACTAGTCTTATGAGGAGGAGGTGGAGAAATATGCTTTAGGCATAGTGTGATTTGACATATATTGGGCATAGTCCCTTTTTGAACATCAACTCCATAAGACTGTCATGAGCTTAAAATTCCATCCTTCAATTCTTTGGAGGTAGAAGGCTGCTCTATTTCTAAAGGTTTCTTATTAAAAGACACATATTACTGAGAAGGGTCAGGCCTTAAATCTTGTCAGCTAACACTTGTGGGAATTAATTAGAAAGAACACAGGTTCAGGGAACCTGGGTTTGAATCTTGGCTCTGCTACTCACTACCTATATGACCTTGGCCAAGTCACTTAAAGGGGTCTCAGTTTCTTCATCTGTAGCATGAGGAAGAGTTGGACTAAATGACCTATAAGTTTCTCTTCAGCTCCAAATATATGATCCCATGACATGGAAAAAGGTAGACTCCTGGGAACAAGTTTTGGTGACTGGGGAAGGGAAAACCTGGGATGCAAGCAGGAGGAACAGAAGTGTGGGAAGAGAATAGCGATCTGGGAGGGTGAGGGAAGAGATGCTTTGGGGAAAATAACATATAAAAACAAAATATTTCAATAAAAATAATTTTTGACATTATAAAATATTTTTATTTATTTTTAATTTTCAATATTTACTTCCCCAAGATTTTGAGTTCCAAATTTTCACCCCATCTTGCCCCTCCCCCACCCCAAGATGGCATGTATTCTGAATACCCCTTCCCCAAGTCTGCTTTCCCTTCTATCTCTCCCCCCTTCTCTTAACCCCTTCCCCTTCTATTTTCCTGTAGGGCAGGATAGATTTCTGTACCCCATTTCCTATATATAAGCCTCATTCCATACCCTTCTGCCCAAAAACCTCATCAAGTTTCATCATTGGTCTTCTGAAGTCACGATGGGTCACTTCATTAATCAGAAGTCTGAACTCTTTTCATATTGTTTTTCTTTACATTATCATGGTCATTGTGTAAACAGTTGTCCTCATTCTGCTTACTTTGTTCTCAATCTATCAACAAGTCAACAAGCACTTAGGAAGTGCCTACTGTGGGTCAGGTACTGACTGCCAGATGTTGGGGATGCAAATATAAAAGAAGAAACAATCTCTACTCTCAAGAAGTTTAAACTCTAACAGAGAGATGACATATATACACACACACACACACATATGTATAGAAAGAACAAATATGGAGAAAATAAATACACATGCAGTAAATTTAAGGTAGTTTGGTACCAAGAAGTTAAGGAAGGTGGGGAGTAGCATGTGGGAGAATTAGGAAAGGCTGATGCTTGAGTTGCATCTTGAAGGAAGAAAGGAACTTTGTAAGGTCCAAGTAAGAAGGGAGTTCATTTCAAGCATTATAGATGGCCAGTGAAAAGACAGAGAAGCAAAATTATGGGTGAAGGGGACAGGAAGGGGGAAGGAGAATAAGGTACAAGGAGACTGGAAAGATAGGATGAGGATAGGATCTTTGTAATGGGCTTTTAAAGCTAAATAGAGGAATTTATTTTTTATCTTAGGGAAAAAAAAGGAACAAAAGGAGTTTAATGAATAGGGGACTGCACAATCAAATCTACACTTAACTGTGTGTGTGTGTTTGTTTATTTGTTTGTTTTTGCTAACTGTGGGGAAGATAGGCTGAAGTAGGGAGAGACCTGAGGTAGGGATACCGATTACTATATACATAGGTACCTCAGCTGGAATCTCAGGTCTAATCTGAAGGTTGGATGATTAAAAAAAATTACACATTAAGGGAGGGGGAAAAAAGATTTGATGACTCAATGAACAGGACATGGAGGAGGGGACAAAGTACTGTCTAGAGGTGTGTTCTGTGAGAAGTGAGAAACAGACAATTTTTATTTCAAGCCAGAAGAAGTGAGCAGAGAGGTGAGACAGCTGGCCTTGGTACTAAGAGCTTGGCAAACTGAGCCTGAGGTCCTGTCCAAGCATCAGGCAAGGTAGCCAGGATCCACTCTGAAGGTAACTCTCTTTACTCCTGGAATCCTCCACTGTAGTAGTTTTTGCTGAAGAGAGTAATCTGCCCAATATTTGTCTTCTTTGGAATTCCTCCTTGTTTAACCCTAAAAGGGAAGAGAACAGTGCTGGGAGATACTGCGGTCACTTGAAGAAGTGACAAATTCATGTTGTCCAGTCAGGAAGGAAGGGCTGGAAAAATTTGTGTGGAGATGTAGACTAAAGGGTGTCCTCAGAAAGAAATGGTTTTCTTAGTTTCTATAATTCCCAAGGGGATAGCTCTGTCTACAGTCCCCAGATCCTCTTTCCAGGCTTTGATTACGGTGATTTTTTGTTTAAGCTATAGTTCGACGCACAGGCCATTGGGCCATACTTCTTGCCTCCCTGGGCACAGTTAGAGGGTGCCTCAGTGCCTTGCACTGCAATTGAATCACCAGTTGCTATTCTGCAGAGATTTCGCCTCTTGTTCTTTGGTCTTCTCATCAATGAGTAGTCCTTGGGGACTTAGCCACCAATTCCATTCATCATCTCTCAAACTGCACTGTGTCTACCAATATTAGGAAGTTTGAAAAGTCCTGGAGCTCCTCACCCACAATAAAGTATTATATGGAAGCAAACCAGGCTAGACTATTCCCTCAAAAACTTGCAAAATTTTCCTCCCATGTTCATTTCTTCTATTAGACTATCTGTCCACTCAAGGAAGGAATATTTTCATCTAGATTCCATAACCTGCCTCATTTCTGGTGCCAGAGGTTCTTGTACCTACAGAATCACTCTTCTTCCCTTCCCTTGAGGTTGGTGCCAACAGAGGGGACGACTTTCCCAGAAGCTAGAACAACAGAACCCAGTTACTGTCAGGGGCTGAGGCACCCAGGGAGGTAGCATAGGACACTGGAAAGAATGTTGTATTTTAAATCAGAGGACCTGAATTTGAATCCCACCATTACCAGTTACCCCTGGTGTAACCTTAGGTTAATCACAAGTCCCCTAACAAATTATCCTATTATCAAAAGATAAAATTCTCTTTCAGTCCATTTTGGGGCTTTGGGCCAGATTACTCTGCCTATATCTTCCCCACCCACAAGCCCAGCCTGACCATGGGGTTTCAACCAGAAAAGAAGATGGAAAGTCTAGAGCAGTGATTCTCAACCTGTTTGGTCTCAGGACTCCTTTTCACTTGTAAAAACACCCTCCTAACTCACCTACCGTTTGAGTCTTGTCAGTTCTCCTCATCCTGGTTTAGCCTGTCTGCCGGGATGGTTTTACTAGGGTGTGGCCACTGTGCATACTATAGCTTCTTCAAGCCACAGGTGAGAGTTGAGTGCCAGGTAGATACCAAAGATGGATGAGGAGCTCTGAAAAGAGTTCAGCAAGCCCTCATATCACAGATGCGAGTCTTTCTTTAACACCCAAGAGCTAGAGAGTATAAGGAATAAGCTCATAGTACCAAGAGGGAGTACAATGTATCAAAAGTGTTTTCAAAAAAGCAGCCTAACTACTCTGATTGGAGGTCAGGTTATTCAAGACTGAACCCGGTTCAGACCACATGCTTGGGTCAAGAGCAGATGGGCCTCTTACTTGGGAAGAGAATGAGCCCAATGCCCCAGCTTCCTAGGATCGGTTCCTTAATATTAGACAAATACAACAAGAAATGGATAATCTAAATAGAGTCATCTCAGGAGAACTGACAGGCCACTAAAAACTTACCCCAAAATATTTTTATCAGAGCCAGATGGACTGATAAATGGATTCTAGTAACTCTTATATTATATAGACCATTTCAAAATATAGAGAAAGATGGCAGGCTACCTACCTCCTACTGTGTGATAAATATGGTTTTGAAGAAGTGAATAAAAACAAAGCTAAGAAAAAAATACTAAATTAAAAACTTGCAAATATAATGTAGCAGGACATCTGAAATAATATATTTCTTATGACCAAGCATATTTGTGAACAAAATGTGAGGAGACTTTAATAGCAGAGAAATATAATCAGTATAATGAAACATATTAATGAGAGAAAAAAAGAAAGACTTCATGCTTACCTCAATAGATGAAGAGAAAACTTTCAATAAAATACAGTGCTATTTTATGTTGAAAGTCCTTAATTGAATCTGTGATTGTATCACCTTGGAAATTCCCTCCAGTGATTCAGATTGTGACTCATCCATACCTGCCCATCTGGTGAGATTCATATCTCTTTCCTCCTATGATTTCCCTACAGGAGTTCCACTCAGTATACTGGAGGCCTTCCTCTTTTTCTCTTGACATTGAAAAAGCATCCTTGGAACATCCTGATTTTCCACTTGTCACCCTTCACTTTCAACATATGACCAGCCCATTTTCTCTTCCTATTTTACAATTCATTCATGATGCTTATTCTTATTCTTTGAAGTTTCTTTTTCTTTAAGCAATAGCAACCCTTTTGTTAAAAAGGTTTTTTTAAATATAGAAATAGAATAATCTTTCCATAATATGACAAAAAGTGTATATTCAAAAGCATGAGGTAGCATTATGAACAATGGAGAAACACTAGATTATCTCCCTAGACTATCCCAACCAAAAAAGAGTTGAATAGGGATGTCCACTCTCCCCAGTCCTATTTAACATAGGTTTCAAAATCTTAGCAATTGCAATAAAGCATGAAAAAGAAATGAAAGGAATAAACATTTGTAATTAAGAATAAAAAATATCTATATTTATAGATGACATATGAAATGATATACCTAGAAAACCTAAGAGATGACAAAATATGGTTGGAAATAACAAAATGTTTTTTTCTTTTAAGGCAATTGGAGTTAAGTGACTTGCCCAGGGTCACACAGCTAGTGTTAAGTGTTTGGTCTGAGGCTGGATTTGAACTCAAGTCCTCCTGACTTCAGGGCCAGTGGTCTCTACTGCACCACCTACATGCCCTGACAAAATGGTTTTAAGAATGAAATACATATAGTTAAAGATAGATAGTTAAATGTATATAATATATATAGTTATGTATAGTTATCTACACATATATATTTATATACGTATGTGTGTATGTATGCATTTGTATATATATGTATGTATATACATATACATATGTATGTATATAGTTATTTGTAGGGCACCTACGTGGTACAGTGGATACAGTGCCTGGCATGGAGTCAGGAGGACCCGAATTCAAATCCAGCCTCAGACACTTACTCGCTATGTGACCCTGGGCAAGTCACTTAACCCTACCTGCCTCAGTTTCCTCATCTGTAAAATGAACTGTAGAAGGCAATGAAAAACCATTCCAGTGTCTTTATCAAGAAAACTCCAGAGGGGATCATGAAGAGTCAGACAAGACTGAAAAATCACTATAATATGGTTATTTGGGTGTTGCCTCCCTCAGTAGAATATCAGCTTCTTTAGGGAAATAATTGTTTTTAGCCTTTTTTTTTTTTTGATAACCCCAGTACTTAGCACAGTGCACAGTAAATGCTTAATAAATGCTTATTGACTGGCTAGTGTCAGAGGCTGCCTTCATGGATTATTTAGTCATTTAAACCATCTCTATCCATCTTTCTCCTGGGGAAGGGGATCTAGTCTAAACTGGATGAGGGCAGCTATGTGCCACAGTGGACAGAGAACCAACTGTGGAGTGAGGAGGACCTGAGTTGAAATTCAACTTCAGTCACTTAAAAGGTGTGTGACCCTGGGCAAGTCACTCAACCCTGTTTGCCTCAGTTTTCTCATCTATAAAATAAGCTGGAGAAGGAAATGGCAAACCACTTCAGTATCTTTGCCAAGAAAACCCTAAGTGGGGACACGGAGAGTTGCGCATGACTAATCAACTAAACAGCAGCAACTAAATTGGCTGCGTCATCTCTCAAGAAGACTGCTCTGGGATGGATGCTACTACTTGTTAGGAGTCATATGATCTATTTAGTTGGTTAAAAACTAATCTCTCTTCCTACAGCTATCTTTCATTTTGGAAGTTAATATGAATGCTGGTGAGTGATCATCTGTTTGTGAATGAATAGCAGAAAAAATTAATCCAAGACTAATGGTCATTTCTACCCCGCCATTTTCTTGCTATTTACCTTGCTTGCTTCTTCATCCTTTGGGGGAACTTAACCCTCTTAGCCCTGGAAATCCCAGCCTGCTCTGTCCTCAGTGTGTCAAATGGCTTCCTATATCTAGCCACCTTCAGCTAGGTTTCATATTTCACCTTTGCCCTACTCTGCCCTGTCCTGCCCCTGTCCACTCCCTAGACAACTGGACCTTGCCATCCACCCTACCACCTAGCCATCAGTCCCAAACTGCCCCTCCAACCACAACTGAATCAGTATGTTATTACTACTTGAAAAGATTAGCCAATCAACTATCCTATGGCTCTGCTCACCATACCTGGGACTTCTAAAACCAAAACACCCTTTCCTAGCTACCATCCTATTTGGGTTTTTTTCCTGTTGGAATATACACTTCTTGAGAACAGGTCTCACTCTTCCATTTGTATCCCCAGTGCCTGGTATACAGTAAACACTTATATATTTCCTTCCTTCCTTCTTTTCTTCCTTTCTTTTTTTCTTTCTTCCTTCCTTCCTTTCCTTCTTTCTTTCTTTCTTTTTCTTTCTTTCTTTCTTTCTTTCTTTCTTTCTTTCTTTCTTTCTTTCTCTTCTAGCACACGTGACATCTGTCCCTTGAAGAGCTTGTCACTCATTTAGATTTTTGCTGCCAGGACTCCTGGTGAATGTGAAGCTTCTGCCCATTAAGAATTGGTTGTTTCCAAAGGGCTGCCTGTTGACCCAATCTGCTCTTTGCAGCTGTCCACAATTACGCCTTGTTGTTTCCATGAGTTATTAAAGTATGTCCTCTGCCCTTTCTACTTAAAATGATTCCACTTGGACTGTTTAGACAACAAAGGTTTGAGATTTCTACTCCATTCTATTCCTTGTACATGCCTAGCCCAGTCAAAAGCAGTGCTTCAAGTTGGAAGACATAAGCATCAGACCTTTCCTATAGAGAGCTGACCCTCCTGACCCGTCA